ACTAAAAGATTAAAAATACTAAAAAAAGATCGAACAAGACGTTCATTTTCCCGACGAGAATACACGAGCGTGCTCCGTCTTTTGCTGCCGGGAAAACGCAATAAATTTGTGGGAAAACCCCTATTCTGACGATTCTTCTACGACAATTTTCTCACAAAAAATGTTATCATTCCATGACAAGTGATGTATTGCCTACAACAGTAAAGGTGAGATGCTCTCATCACATGCAGACAGTGGCGTTGGGCCTGAGGTACGAAATGTTATGTCTATGGTTAGAAATGGCATAAGAATAAAAATGTAAATGCAATTGTCATTTTTTCACATTTTTTTTTTAATTCCCAACATTTTTGGTGGGTGGGCGGCTGGCCGGATGGCCGATGAAAACGCTTATCCCAAAAAAAATAAAGAAGAAAAAGCAACCGAAGAAATAAAAAAAGCTTAACACATTTTGTGTACCCTCGCAGAATCTACCCAGGGACGTATGAGAATTGGGACATAGCCCCTATAATGCCTCATCTCGGGCCGCGGTCCAAAAACGGACCAGGGAGATATCAAAAACAATGTGGTGTTTGATTTCTTGTGAATCAATGAATCCATTTTGGTGACCTAACGGCGATTTTTTCCTTTGGTGTTCGACACAATTGTAAAGAAATTCGTAGAGCACTAATAATAAATAATAGATAATTATTACGATGAAGATATTGTAATGTGCTTTTTGACCTTGTTTCTAAATAGCTACTAAGCGAGTATGCGACTACTTGTTTTTAGTGTTTTATAAAGTTTTTGACAATGAAAATGTTTTGATTTTCTTTTTTTTTTTTTGGTATAGCGACTTTTAATATTTTTAATCTTCGATAACAGGAAGGTTCTGAATATTTATAAGTTGAATGAGCATGTTCCTGCACTTTAATCAGTCTGAAACGATCAATACTTAAAGAAGTGCAGCAAGTTGATTACCGTGATGTGTTTTTTCTAATGCCTGGCCTATGCAGATATGGCACATTATTACACCGTTTTAAGTAACTTTTAATCAATGTAAAAACAGTCAATCGTTCATAGAGATTCCAACTCTCTAATTAGTAATTATATTCAATACTTCAATAGCAAAATATTCATAAGAAAGTTAATTGAATTTGAAATTGGTTCGTCAATGTTAAGCTAGAATATAAGATCACTATAATTAAAACTAAAAGTCCATACCAGCCTGCCACTGATGTTGTACGGGCTGAATACTGAATAAATTAAATCATCCTCAAAATTTATGTAATCAATTTACAAACTAATCATAGGCTACTCTAAACTAAGATGGCTGTCCGCTAGCTTTTACCCCACTTTGGCCGTTTGCAGCCCGAAGTTCCCCAGCCATAGGCTGCTTCAAATAAAAAGGCCGGTAATTAGGCATATTCTTTCACTATGGCCCGACATCGCCTGCTACGCCGCTGCTCTATGCAGGGCAGGTGAGGATGAGGTGAGTATGCACCCCTGTCAGGGACCTGCACCCCTCGTCGGGTAATCTGTGGTGCCCTCACTGGGTCACCCACTCCTCTGGCAAAGCAAAACTGTCCTTCGAGCCATGGGACCTCGATAATCAGTTCACGCCTCCGACACACCTAAAACATCTTGAATCCGTGCCTGCAGGTTTTTTGTACCACTATACTAACTTAAAATAGGCCTACTATAGCATTTTCCGCGTATTTATCCATATCACATAAAATACTTGCATGGAGGAGCCTGAGCATAATAGATAATTAATTAAGATTGGAAAAGACTAATCCGACACCACCACGAAATGCTAGGTGGATGAAGAAGGTACCGTATTAATAGAAAATACTAATTCAACAACATCACGACACGCTTAACTGAAGTATTGCAAAACCCCGACACATTCAGTTCAGAGCACAATTTAGAGTCTTAAGTTTAACGAATACGGTACAATCCTTAAAATTAGGTCGTGTGGTATTGTATTTATAATATCCCAACATAACAGATATATAT